CACCAACAACAACAACAAAAACAACAACACCAGCAGCAGCAACAACAACAACAACAGCAGCAACAACAGCAGCAGCAGCAGCAGCACCACCACCACCACCACAACCACCACCACCACCGCCGCCGCCGCCACCACCACCACCACCACCACCACTACCAAAACGACACACCACAAACGCCACCACCACCACCAAGAAGAAGAAGAAGAGGAATAACAAAGAACAACAGCAAGAACAAGAACAAGAACAACAAGAACAACAGGAACAACAACAACAACAACCACAACCACAACCACAACCACAACCACAACCACAACCACAACCACCACCACAACCACAACGACAACAACAACACCAACAACAACAACATGAACACCTCGAGTTTTGTGTGGTTCTCGTGAACATAAGGATGTTTTGCCCCTGTTTGTCCATGCTTTGTGTTGTTGTTTTTGTGTTTTTTGTGGCGAAAGTGTCGCAAATCATGTGGTTTTCGTTGTTTTGTTTGCTTCAGTTTTGCGTTCATGTTTAAAGTTTTTGGTTGAAAAAACGTGAGACTTTTCTGCTGGGAGCGTCTGACAAGCAACAGGAAACCAGCAGCAACAGGGAGCAATGTTGTCAGTCATCTTTATCAGCATCGCCATCGCTATCCTCTGCATGAACAAGCAACATCATCAACATCATTATCATCACCAACATCATTGCAATCAAAAGCATCAACATCATGATCATCAGCATCAGCATCATCACCCTGACCATCGTCATCATGGTCAAGGCAATCTGTTTTTGGAATACAGCTTTGAATCTGGAGTTGGCGGGGTTCTTGGTACAAAGAACGCAAACAACGGCATGTACGACGCTTCCGCAAAACCACACCTGCGCACAGAAAAAATGGAAACACTAGATGGGAGCCGCATTCGCATAGACGTTCCCCCCCCCCCCCCACGGAAGCAAAAAGAATCACAAACACAGCAAGTCCTCAGAAGAACACGTGGCCGACTTGCAAGCAAAAAACAGGAACGGAGAAGCCACGGATGACAGTAAATACCCATACAAGTCCAAGCTGCCATATGCGAAAAGTTGAGTTTTGGCAAGGAGCAGCCCTGAAATCGAATTTGGTCATGACCCTGCTGAGCACGATGTAGACCGCGAATACATACAGTATGTCTTAAGTTGAAGGATGACGAAGAGAACGCGTTGTGGCTTATGACCTATGAGCGATTTAATACTGATTTAACATGTTTATAAGAGTTTTGATGGCAACACCAATGGTGACCATGGCTTAGATGACGATGATGAGGATGACGATGACGATGAGGAGGAGGATGAGGCGGAAGATGCAGAAGGATGATGGGGGATGACGAAGGAATCGATGACCTGGTGGTGCTGACACGCAAGAAGACAGAGACGAGAAGATGTCAGAGACACCTTTGAACCTGTTTTGAGCTGGGGACAATGTCGCTGATGAGGTCTGGACATGCAGCAACCTGGCTCTAGGTTTCGCCTGCGCCGCTATGCTCCAAAATATCAGCCATGAACCTGTCCTGAAATCCCAAGTCAGTCTTAAAGCCAATGCGGCAAAGATTCGGGTCTTGAGGTCGAGGTTGGTTCGTACATTTATGTACATCTGGTGTCGCACCGCCAGAATCCCCACGACGACAATGCCGAACTCAAGCGACTGTGCAGCGAAGGTGCTCGAGTTGAGCTGAAACCCAACTTGATAAAGAGCAAGCAGCCAATGGAGAAAGTTCCCCACGACTGCACACCACCCATATCGCGGCGACAGACCACACAAAAAGCGTGGCATGAGCGTGATCAGCGAGAGGCTGGCCTGGGCACACTGCATTGCTTGAAGCAGCTTCGTTCGCTGGAGAGGCTGCTCTGGTCTAAATCGCAGCTTGAAAAGACTCCAGCTTATCTTTGTGGTTTAGATGCTTGCCACACTCGTAGTGCTACAAGGGTCCTCGCAATTTGCCATGCTCGCCGCGTCGACCATGATCGTCATCATCGTTTGGACAATCCGAGGGATCATCAGCAAGGACATGATGGTCGTAATCATCATGACCACAACCGATATTCCATCGTCGGGAAAGTCATTATGATCCCCAAGCATTCTGTCTCTATGTCTATAGGGGAACGACCTTGTTGAGCATTACTATGTGCAAATGAAGACAACAAGCAATGTATGGGAACTACCTAGTGCATGAAGACAGTGCATGAGCATCAAACTGTAAAGAGGTCAACCAACTTGACAATGACGACACCTCGCCGTGACGAATGCAGAAAGTGTCGACGTGTCAATTGAGAAAGTGTCGCCAACAACAGCACTCATGCGACCAGTGCCGACCTGAAGCAAGATCGGACTTCGCCTACCACATTGCCAAGAGCGATATAACTATCGAATCAAACTGCCGAGAGCCTGTACGAAAAAATGGCGCCCGCTCACACAACTCAGTGCTTTATCGTTGGGCTTTTGGGCCAGCTTGAGCTGAGGCGCTATGTCGGCAGGATCCGCCACGGCTAGGGGCAAAATGTTCAAGCCTCGGATGTTCAGCTCTGAATTCTCATGCCTACCGACGTGCAGCTTGGCACGCTGAGCTGGATAGTCAGCTGGCTGCACGGCCTGCCTGTGCCGCCGAGGCCCCAGACGTAATCAAAGAAAACGATTCTGTCGGCAGAGTCCCGTAACTATGAGGGAAAAGTTAGTACCAGCAATTAGCCCAAACCCTTGGAGCGATGTGAACTCCATAATGCGATCGGCAGTGTAGTGGCATTGCGTCCCCCCACAAAATGCAGGGCACTGCTACGGGTGCACAAATTCTGGTGACGGCAATGCACCGGACAGTGGCGAGAGCACACAAAAACCGCAAAACGTGCATGGCACTTTGGCGAGAGCTTGAGACAGTTGAACACCCTCTTCGATCGCATCAAAGACCAAGCCTTCGTACGTCTCTAGTCTCGAACCTGGAGCTCAACCTCCACAGATGCGAGATGATGCGAGCATATGCGAGCGAAGGCACCCTGCAGCGCGAAATACCACAGGTCGAGACTCCGTGGTATGACTAGCTGCCTGCGAGGCTTCAAGGTAGGAAAGAGGCATCTCTAACGCTGAGACTGCAACGACTCGTGCAAAATTCTGAGGTGACGTTGGAACAAAACCGGCATTGTCCATACGGGGTCAATGCGGGCTGTCTCTGACTTTTGTTGCCTTAATAGAATGTAGAGCACCCTTTAGTTCTCCGCTTGTATCTTCGAACCCGGTGAAGCAACACATAATTCTCAAACTAGGGGAACCGACCTCTTTTGACCCCATGGCAAGCCAGAACCTTGTCCGTTTCATCCATTTCCAACCACCGCGCCTGAAGGAGATCATGAACAGGACCACTGCATACCCGGCCACGCTGGAGATGTCCTGTCAAAAAGAGGCCCAAAGCTCCGGGCAAGATCATGTCCGAGGCAACTCGGATCTCGTTCCAACCCACTATAAGGGCCAAGGCACCAGAGCCGGAGACAGCAGGTGATTGGCATTGGTGAGCAGGTGCCACTGGTAGACGCTCCTGAGATATCCGAAACCGATGTCGAACTTTAACAGCACCATTCGGAGAACCGCCCCCCACCCCCGCTTACTCTTACCGGATTGTACATCATAAGCAGGCTTGAAAACGATTGGGCCGAAAGCCCTTGCACCACATTTTCTTCACACAAAAACCTTCCTGAAGCACCGCCTGCTGCCAAGCTTCAGCCGAAAAAACAGGACTATCACCATGAGGTTGCTTCCGGCAACCTGAGCGGTCTGAAGACGACGGGAAGCCTACTTACGGGAAAAGAATCGCACAAGCTAGCATCGCAAGTGCAAACCAAAATCAACAGGAGCCAGTCACCTCCAAGACTGTGAACAAGCCAGCCCAAAATCTGCCTGGCCACCAGAAGGTTGCACAGGGTCTCGTGGAACTTCCGGTTCACTCGCTTCTCCATACCTTGCCACTCCCAGACTGAAAGCTCGGCACCGCAGAACGGAGAATGTCACAATGTAGCCGCCAATGCATTCGCGCTTAGGGGATGGGACCAGCTCCTTACCTTGCGACGGACGATCACCGACAGGCCTGTGCACCCAGACAAGTGTGCACATACGAAGAAGGCATGTGTGTGTGTATATCTATATCTATATCTATATCTATATCTATATCTATATCTACATACATATATATATATATGTGTGTGTAGATGTACATACATACATGCATACATACATGCATTTATACATACGTACATACATACATAAATACATACACACATACATACGTACATACATACGTACATAACATAACATAACATGCATACAGACAGACAGACAGACAGACAGACAGACAGACATACGTACACACACACACATACATACATGCATGCATGCATGCATGCATACATACGTACATACGTACATACGTACATACGTACATACGTACATACATACATACGTACATACATTCATACATTCACACATACATACATGCATACTTACACACATACA